ATTATGGCTCATTTGCATATTTAAACATGCTATTTCAGAACATTTGTAATACGAAAAAACAATTGTCTTAATGCAAGTAATTAACTGGAGACATTTCTAGCTGATATCTTTAAGTTAAAAAAAATTACCCTATTCACCTGTAGTGTCTCGCCTTAAACAAATTAGACCTTTCTTAACTGTCAGTGCTGCAAAGTCATACCTCCACTGTATGATTCTATCCCACATTGAATACTGTTTTACAAACTGGTCGTTTGCTTGTGCCACAAACCTTAAACCAATAGAACAGCTGTACAAGAGAGCTATCAAGGTTTTTGACAGAAAGCCATATTCATACCACACTGTACCATCCTTGAAAAACACGATTTCTTGAGCTTTGACAATTTTAAGTCTTTTAAAAGTATGTACTTTTTTTATAAATGTTTACATGGACTGGCCCCCCCCTCCCTTAGGGGAATTCATCCACAAAAAAAACACTGGACGCTGCACTAGGTCAGAAACCAGAGGAGACTGAAGTCCACCGTAGACGGACCACTTTTGGACAAAATGTCCTTTCCATTAAAGGCAGCTCATTGTGGAATAGCCTCCCAACTGAGATACGGGATTGTCCCACTCTCAATAGTTTTAAAGGTCAACTCAGAGAATGGTTGAGAAACAAACAGACGTGCAATCATCGCTAGCTGCACTTTAACACAGGGGTATCTCCTCTTGCACTTTATGTAGCTCTTGTATCTTCTCTTGCTCTTTATATGTCGTTGCTGCTATATTGTACTGCCATGAGGTAAATACTTGTGTATGCTGCTCTTGCTCTTTTTGCACATCATGTATTTTGTTTTTGCTATGTTTGTAAAATGTAATTTTCTTAAATGTTTTATGTGCGGATGGAAATTAGCTTAAAAGCTAAATCTGGCACTGTTACGCTTGATACATTTTAATGTTTTAAGTGTTCATTATTGTGCATTGTCCCTGCTAAATAAACGATTACATAAATAAATAAAATATAGAAAGTCTTTATTGTAATAATGTTACAGAAAATTCACGAAAACTTAAAAGCGAACTCAAAATAATAATAAGCTCCACAAACTGGGTTATTTCTTCACCATTGTTGCATTACAAACTGTAAGTGTTTGCAGACACATGTATGGAGGCTGTCAGGGGCAAACACGCAACAACGGCCCAATACACTTCCATTAGGAGAAATGGAAATGTATGTGCCAAATCACATGCAAATAAAGAAACATCTTCACCAACTTGACAACACATGTGTAGGGTTTACTAAAGGCGCGGTATTACAAAATCCTCTGAATAAAATATTTACTGTGTGTGTAGCATCCTACTGAGTCATAAAAACCAAATTTATCACAACATGTTATATCTGGTCAGAAGTTTTTTTCTATACGGGAAGGACGACATCATTTGACGGCCCTTCCCCACCAATGTTAGAACAAAAAGCTTAAATATGTCAATATTTATTTGAAAGAAGTGATTTAAAGTGGTTCTACTTAATTTTTATGATGGCTGGGTACACAAAGTCAATGACAAACAATTGGCGGCTGGGTTTCTGTTGGTAATCTAGTTTTAATTTATTGATGACGAAAACAAGCCTCTGCCACAAATATTGCCACTAATTGAACTCCTTAATCCTCATTAAAAATAAATCCTTCAAAACTTGGCAGTCAGAAGACACTTTGGTACATTTGTTTTGACAAAATGTAACTCTTGAGTTGACTTGCAGAGAAAAAAAAAAATCTAATGTGTGAATTGTGAATTGTGAACACTATATAAAACCACCCCTGCCTCCATCCTGCTCTTTAACCCCATCCGGAACGATAAAAGAGGGTTCGCCGTTACCTCAGGGACTCTTTACGGTGACGGACCTTGGGTTGCAGTCGAATAGTCCATTTAGCTTAGGAACCTTCCTAATGGAGTGAAATGACCCAGAAGTCCCTCAGTGGCAGCCATGATAAGTGCCGTTCGAATTCTCTAGATGAAATGAAAGGAGGTTTGAAACTACCTTTATAACCTCCTTTAGCTTAGGAACCACTGGACCTCCCTTTACGAAAGGAGAGGAGAAAATGCTGCCCCACAATGCCTTGCAGCCGCAGCATTTGCCGTCACACAACATTCGGCCGTTCACGGAAACAACCGATTATGACCGAGAAAGTTACGGTGCTTATTAAGCTTTTTAAAACGTATGTGGTAAGTTGCCAAAGTGCTTTGTTTTGAACGTTCATCAGTATTATAATCAAAAAGAGAAATATGAACGTTAGTTTTTACTGAAATGATCAAATAAAGTCAACATTTCACAGTCTTTACTGAGCTGTGTGGGGTTTGTTCAACTTTTAAAAGATGTTTGAATGGTGATATACACAGTGATAAATGTTAAGGACCAACGTTTATAATAAATACATTTGTATTGATTTTAAGATCTTTTCATAGTTCATACATTCATACGTATTGGGATCATTTGTATTAATGTATGGCCCGCGAATGACCCCCCATGACGCCGACCCTGCCGGATCCTAGTACTGAGCTGGGAGTGACGAGTCTCCCCTCTCCATTAACCCGAGTCCTTTGAGTCCTACACCTGGTGACGTACAAATTAAAACTATAACTTGCTTCACTCGCTACTCTCCTTATAACATGTAAAATAACATTAAAACGTACCCCAGTCCATCTGCATAGCCTTTAGCAAGTAGGATAGCTGCCAGAAGTTATCGTTTGGCTCAGGGGACGCGGATCAGTGAAACTTCCTGCAGACTCGTGCGGACTCAGAGCCGTAACCGTATAGCAGATCCAGAGATCCAGAGATCCAGACTCATCATGCACGAGTCAACAGCAGACTCAGATTCGCAAATCCTGAATTAGGCTGGAGCCACACGAGGACGATAACGCAAACGGACCGAAATCGTTATCAAAAAAGTATTCCGTCCATACGCAACAGGCACCAGAAACGTGTCCGTTCACACGAGACCGCTCGAAAGCGCAGGAGACGCTGTAGTACATATGCCAGGCCTGTAAGTGGCGCTGTACTTTGGCCACAAAATACACCAAAAGCAGCGAAGAAGACTTCTCGCGCATGCATGGTTGCCATGGTTGCCCTTCTGTTTATTCTCCGCGCTGGATTTAGCAGCAGAGGTGGGGTTTCGCCGGTCAGCCTGACTGAATCAAGGGAATTTCCTTCACTTAGCAAACTTAGCAGACTCATGCGGACTCGGAGCCGTAACCGTAGCAGATCCAAAGATCCAGACTCAGATTCGGTGAGCGGACTGAATGAGTGGATTACTCCACACACACACACAGTGCGAAACAGCAAACGGTTTCGGACTCCTCATGGTTTTCAGACTCAGTGAGTGTCAGCTCTGTGATAACGTAGATGCATACTGTGCACAGATAATTTGACGACTTCACCCAGTCAAGTGTAATAAGCCAAATACTGCAATAAACATTAAGAGACAAACGTTGTTAGATCGCGTTTGTGTAGCGGAGGTTAATATAACGTTTGTTTAATATGCTCTTGAAATGCAAATCTCAAGTGACAAATTACAAATACGCAAACAGTGGACTGCCGCCCTCACTAGTAGCTCTAACATTTGAATGTATTTGAAGTTGGAGACTATGTGCTCCTGTTTCACCATTAGGATTTATACGCTCTTGGTGACTCATATGACTCAAAGGACTCGTATGATCCGGATCTCTTCAATGACTGACTCAGAAGACCTCGAGTCCGTAAAAGGATCCGTATTTGCCATCTCTAGTATAAATGTGAATATGTAACACACACGATAAAAACTGAGCTCCAAAATGGAGACGCCACCAAGAGAGTTGTAATGATTTTTTATAATAGAACATTTACTTTGATATCTTTCGACTTCCATTGTGTGTGTGTGTGTGTGTGTGTGTGTGTGTGTGTGTGTGTGTGTGTGTGTGTGTGTGTGTGTGTGTGTGTGTGTGTGTGTGTGTGTGTGTGCCTGCTTTGCTTCAGTGGTCTCAGCAGTAGCAGCAGCTGTGATGTATCCATTAGAGCAACATCTCCTCTCTGCCGGTCCAGAGATAATACTTCTCCAAACTGAGAATGGATCATTAGCGCTGCAGTCACCGTCTGAACTGCAGCCTCTGACACAATGTGAGACTGTCGTGAGCTCTCCAGCTGTTGCCTATAACCAGAGGTGGGAAGTAACTAAGTACATCCACTCAAGTACTGTAGTTAAGTAAAAAGTTGAGGTACTGTACTGGTACTTTACTTGAGTATTTCCATTGTATGCTACTTTATACTTCTACTCCACTGCATTTAAAAGGGAAATAATGTAATTTTACTCCACTCCATTGCACTGTGACACTCCCAGTGGAATAACTCTTTAAGTCACAATAATATTTTACAAAAATTAAATCCAAACTGGGTTTGTCTTTAACAGAAAAACGGTACTTGATGCAAGAAGTGTCACATACGAATATAATTATACACACACATAAAGGCAATATTTCTGCACAATGATAACTTTGACTTTTTATACTTTAAGTACATTTTGCTGATAACACTTTTGTACTTACTTAAGTACGATTTTGATTGTAGGACTTTTGCTTGTAATGAAGTATTTTGACATTAATGTATTGGTATTTTTGCTCAAGTAAAGCATCTGTATACTTCTTCCATCTGTGCCTATAACATTACTTCTTGTGCGAGTGAGAGAGCAGGAGAGAGAGAAGCCTTGACAGGCAAACAGAGAGTGAACAAAAATGTCCCTCAGGAAGTGTGATTTTTGCTTTCTTAGTTGTTATGTTTAGTGTTCCAAGGTGAATCTGAACGGGCTCCTTTCTGAATGAGTGTGCGTCATTGCAGCGGATCCAATAGGAGCGCGCCTCCCGTGGTGCTGGATATAAAAACCGCTGTCCTCCGAGTTTCCCACACTGAACCTCTCCTCACTTGGTGCAACAGCAACAGATGTCCACTCACTTTTAACACTCATACTCTCTGTTTCCAAGTTCTCACACACAGAGGGATAATGGATTTAAACGGCACGCTGTCAGGGCGCGAATTTGACGTCCTGGAGCAGCGACTCTTTGGGAATAACTCCTTGTTTGGAAACAGCACCTTTGGAAACAGCACCGCCGCTTCCAACACGGAGGACGAAGACTTGGAAGTGAATACCGATGTTTACTCCAGGGTGATAGTCACTGTCATATACGCTGCTCTGTTCGCTGTGGGCTCTCTGGGGAACTCCATCACTCTCTACACCCTGCTGAGCAGAAAGACCCTGCAGAACCTCCAGAGCACCGTGCACTACCACCTGGCCAGCCTCGCCGTCTCCGATCTGCTCATCCTGGTCCTCTCCATGCCCATCGAGCTCTACAACTTCATCTGGTTCCACCACCCGTGGGTGTTCGGGGACGCGGTGTGCCGGGGTTACTACTTCCTGCGGGACAGCTGCTCCTACGCCACCGCGCTCAACATCGCCAGCCTGAGCGTGGAGCGCTACATGGCCATCTGCCACCCGTTCAAAGCCAAGAGCATCATGTCCCGCAGCCGCACCAAGAAGCTCATCAGTGCCATGTGGCTCGCGTCCTTCGCGCTCGCCACGCCGATGATCTTCGTCATGGGCCAGGTGATGCGTAAAGGAGAGAATATATGCACCTCTATCGTGTCCCCCGTCACCATCAAGACCGTGCTCCAGGTAGGTGTCATATCGCTGCGTGTGTGTGTTTTGGTTTTACGCGCGGATTTATCCACAGTCGCTCTTACCACATCTGGGCTAATTCAAGGGGAAATTATGAATATGAATCTGGAGTTCCGAGCCACACGTCCCTGAAGCAGGGGCGGTTCTAGCAAGTTATACCTGGGGTGGCGAAAGGGTGGCATGAGGTTCCAGCTGGGGGGGCAAATGTTATCTCCCCCCCAAACTCAATTCAACTTCAGAGACTTCATTTTCTGCATTCTCTGGTGATGTTTATGCATGTGAATCACATAATAAGACAATGTAAAATCAACTTATGTTGAACACTTAAAGGTGGGGTAGGTAAGTTTGAGAAACCGGCTTGAGATACACTTTTTGTTATATTCCATGGAATGCTCTTAACATCCCGATAGCAATGAATATCTTAAGTGCTTTGACAAGAAATCCATAAAAGAATGTAATCTGTGGAAGCCGTAGCGCTGTAAAAAGCACGACCCGGCTTTTAGCCGGCCCGGCTAAAATAACTGGATGGCCTACCTGCCTGTCAGCCTTCCATCTGTGCACAAACTTATCTCGTGCCCTCATTGGTCATGTGCGCGTTCATGTGTGTTGGAGGAGGGGCTCTGTAAGGAAGTGGCAGATTTTTTCCGGCTGTGTATTTTCAAATGTTAGCGCACTCGAGCTGGTTTCGCAAAATGACCTACCCCACCTTTTAAAGGTAGGGTAGGTACGTTTGAGAAACCCACACAAACGTGCACATGACCAATGAGGGCACGAGATAAGTTTGTGCACAGATGGAAGGCTGACAGGCAGGTAGGCCATCCAGTTATTTTAGCCGGGCCGGCTAAAATGATTGGTCGTGCTTTTTACAGTACTACGGCTTCCACAGATGACATTTTTTTATGGATTTTGTGTCAAAGCACTTAAGATATTCATTGCTATCGGGATGTTAAGAGCATTCCATGGAATATAACAAAAAGTGTATCTCGAGCCGGTTTCTCAAACTTACCTACCCTACCTTTAACCCAGTCCTTGCATGCAATAAAAACTTACAACAATTAGTTTTACGGTTTTTAATAGAAGTATTCAACTTTCACACACACACACAAATATTAATCTGCCAAATTAGTAGTTACTAAAGTTATGTATAATAAATGGATTTAATACGAGCACATTCAATTCGTTTTTAAAGTAGCCTACAGTACTTGAAATTACATTTACTAATTTACCTTCCTACCCTGAAGCACAGTATCATATTTTGTTGTTGGTAAAATCTTAATTTGTAGTAATTTGAAGAAACCCCCGCACATACATTGTGTGAGTCTGTGTTGTTTTTGTGTGTGTGGGTGTACATGCATTGGGAACAGGCATGTGCACACATAGACATCAAAGTGGGCTTGAGTCCCTGCCCTTTTTCTTCCTCCAGAGAAAGTGCCCTTTTTTCCCCCTTTTTGTTTTTTTAATAAAATTAATATATCTACTGCTGTTTGCGCACAGTTTCCCTTTCCAAAAATATATTGATTGAATACAAAATAAAACATCAGGTCGGGAGATTAGACTGTGAAGTTCCGATGCTCTCTCTACCCTCCCTCCCCGTCTCCTGCACAGCGATGCGGACAGTCATCGGCAGTCACTTCAGACAGACAGGTGTAAGCACCTCCCACTTTACTGTGCCATGTTATGCTGGTTTTTCTTGGCTTATTTTGAAGGTGAGTGGTGATGAACAAATTACTAAACTGCCAGTGCCTCGAGTTTACAGCTAATTAGCTAAAACACAATAATAATTATAGTTAAAGGACAGGTGTCATGCTTTTCCGGTTATTACCCGTCCCCTTGTGTGTTATGAAGGTTTTTATGCATGTAAACGGTGTGCAGAGTCAAAACCCTCAAAGTACACCCTGTAGCGAGTAAAACTCTAACACAGAAAATACCTCCCCAAAACGCCTCGTTGGAGATACGTCATTGTCCATTTGATTCTTCCGGGTACGGCATGATGTCATGCCGTACCCGGAACGAAATGGACCAATCCGTGGAGCCGTTACGTTAAGCCCCCGCTGATTGGTCCAAATTGACCAATCCACAGACTTCCTCACACACAGGCAGCTCTGCTGATTTCTCCTCCCTGGCTGCAGGCTGATAACAGACAGTTGTGATCGCGGCCAAATTCTCTCTGCAGACCCATTCTCACAGCGTTTATCAACCTTTTTCTTACTCAATATCAAGCCACACTTATTGTTTTTACTTCGACTGTGACTTTGTGTGTGCTCAGGATGAGTTTGGCTGTGTTTGGCTATGTATCCTAAACAAGGAAACAACACCTCCATGGAGCTCAGCGCGATTCACAACGTCCCGACCAATCAGAGCACACTGTGCTCACAGGGAGGGTGGGGGCTGGAGCTATTGGAGCTACAACGAGCCGTTAAAGGCAGAGAGTGAAATTCAGTGAATACACGTAGTTTACAGAGATGCTGTATGAGAAACCAATGTGAGTTTGGAAAAATGCACAATATAAATCTATTCTAGTATACCTCAACAATGGAATTATGATCAGTGGAAATGGCCATGACACCTCTCCTTTAACGAAGGCTACTAGCTAATGGATAAGTTAGCTCAAGGTTTAGCTAAGGTAATTTATCATGGGCATACAGGCTAATGTACTGTACTTAAGGGGAGACACTTAAAGTGAATACAGTAAAATGTGTATCTAATAACGTCATCACAATCGCCACATTGATATGCAAATTAGGCGTTAACTAGGCCTAATTAAAATGCGCTAATTTGCATGCAGTTACCAAGGCATTGCAGGTGAAAAGGATAAAACTAAAAAACATATCACCTCACAACTTCCCCAGATAGTTACTCACGTCAAGTCAGTATTTTCCCCTGAAATGTTATGTTTAAATGCAGATTAGCTTTAAATCTATAGATGAATTCAGACATGGTAGTAAAACGAACACCATTTATATGTGTTACTTGGAAGTTTTATGTCCATTAGAGTGAAAGAAAACATGGAAGCAAAATAGACCAAAATAACAAGCACATGAAAAAACTATCCTTTTGCCTGTAATGTCCTTAAACAGTAACTTCATCATTTTGATTGTTGGCTGCTCATTTAATAACTATAAATTGTACTAGTTTGTTGTCTGCTCTTGTGCGTAGTGAATACTAAAGAAGACCATTGTCTCTGTGTTAGCTAATTATTTTGTAGAATTCTGTTGAGTATTAAACAATTGCGTGAGTGTGAGGGTATTCAAATAAATTGGTCAGTAAGTCAGAGATGTGCAACTATATTTCACTTTTTGTTTTAAAATATTCTTTTATAAATGATTATAGGAAGTGCCCTTTTTCTCACTTGAGCATCCGCCCCCCAAAATGTCTGTGCACGTCCCTGATTGGGAATGTCCAGTTTTTCCAGGTGGGGGTTGTGTTTGTTAAGGAGCCTATAAAAGAGTGGATGTAATGTGTGAATCTCAGAAATGTACTTAAGTAAGTCTACATTTAGTTTAGTAATGCAATTAGTTCCTTTCTACTGGTTGTGCAAGCCCCCAATGTGCAGGTGTAAACTATTAGTAATATCCAGTGTTATGATTAGGGATGGGTATCGTTAAGGTTTTAACGGTACTACTACTTTTATCGATACCGCTTATCGGTCCGGTCTTTTAACGGTACTCTTATCGGTTCTTTTGGAGAGAAAAATGAGGTAAACTAACTATATGTTGTATGTCAGGGACTACGGATGGAAATGAGCTCAAAGCTAAAATCCGGCATATTTACACTTGAAGCATTATTTGTCTAAAGTGTTCATTAATGTGCATTGTCCCTATTCAAATAAACGATGAAATGAAAAATGAAAATAAACAAATTGTGAACAAAACTAACATTGCTTTTTATTTAAATTAAATACATAATATTTCACAGCAAAAGAAACAACAACGTTTTAACAAATCGTATGAAATAATCTGATGACAGAACTGTGAACAGAATGGCTGAAACTTTAACAAACTAAATAACTGTTAGAAATTAAAATCAATGTTAAACAGCATAATTCAGTCTAAAACATATCGTCAGTTTAAAGCTGTTTTATTGTGGAAAAGCCCGGAAGTTCTCAGGAAATCAATGCCAAGCTTTTATTCTGAAAAATCCTTTATCCGGTTAGCTTGTGACTAATGTTGCGTTTTCTGAATGTAAAGTGAAAATGACTTGGAGTGTTACACACCAAATCGTACGGACTTTAACACTACATCGATAGACGTTAAGATATTATTACTGCTGAATATTAAATGGTCTAGTTGATCGTAGTGTTTACAGATACGTGAGAAGCTATGACGTCAGAGGGAATTTCCGTAAAATAAGAACTGCCGGAGCGGAACCACTAGGACTTCTAAACTAAGTATTACAGCTGTTTATAAGGTATTAAATAGAAAGTCATGACAGAGATAATGAGGAGAAAATGCTTAAGGAAGTAGGCAGAGAATATCAATGTCGAAATCATCTGTGCTCTCGCGATATCGAACCGGCAAATGAGTAGGGGGCCACCCACTATTTGCACAGCGGGAGACGACGAGACATGGATAAAAACAGCGGACAGAGGACCGCTCGCCCCTTTTCTTCGCTGCAGCCTCCCTGAAGACAACGCCGGCTTTGTCTCTCCATTACCCATGCTTGTTATTCAACCACGTTACTTAATTAAACTACCCATTTGAACCTTTTCAGAGACTCCATTAGTCTCGTTATTTTAAGTTTCTTTCCTGGGAGCGAGAAGATCACGATTTATCAACATAACTCAGTTACCTCTAATCATTAACCCATGTTTGTATCATTGAGTTAGCTCCGTGTGTTGCTGCTAGCATACATAACACCTGACGTGGAAACGTTACTCGTGGATGGGGCTACAGAGCTGCTAGAGAGACAGTCGAACCCGGTGCATTTCTCCGTTTGAATGTGGTGCACTTTTGCAAGATGTTTAGACAAATTGCTCGTGTTACCGCCCTTACATGCTA